GTGACCTGAGATGACATGATGTGAATTGGAGCTATAGAAATAAACTGAATTGAACTGAATTGAAGTACAGAGCAAAGAAATTAGCTTTAGGGAGTAATAGCCTTTGAGAAAGTGAGACCAAGCATCAATCCATTTTCTTCCCTTAATCTGGGGCCGGGTCCCGGAGGCAGCAGTCTAAGCAGATATACCCAGACTTCCCAACCCACGCACACCTCCTCTAACTGCTCTGGGGGGACCCCGAGGCGACACCAGGCCTCCTCCCAATAGGACATGCTGGAACACCTCCCGAGGGAGGTGACCAGGAGGCATCAGGAACAGAGCCTCCTCAGCAGCAATGCTACTCCAAGCTCCTCCCTGGTAGCTGAGCTCCTCACCCGAGCTGGAAGGGTGCACCCAGCTGCCCTGCAAAGAAACTCATTTCGGCCGCTTGCATTTGTGATGTTGTCCTTTCGGTCTTTACCTTTACATAGATCAGTAAATCCAGAGATTTGCCCCATGACTCAACTCCCTCTTCACCAAGACAGTCCGATACAGCGGCCGCATTCCTGCCGATGCCACACTGATCCGTCTGTTGATCTAACGCTCCATGTGTCCCTCACTCCTGATCAAGACCCTGAGATACTCAAACTCCTCCACTTGAGACAAAGGACCAAGCATATTCTATAAAATTAAAACCACTCTACACCCACAGCAGGATTCTGGAGGGTGCATGCGAGTTTGCCCAACCAGTCTACATGTGTTTTGTGGATCTGGAGAAGGCATTCAACCATGTCCCTTGGGGGGTCCAGTGGGGGGTACTCTGGGAGTATGGAGTACCAGGCCCTTTAATATGGGTTCTTAGGTCTCTGTATGATCGGTGTCAGAGCCTGGTCCGCATTGCTGGCAGTAAGTCGGACTTGTTTCCGGTGAGGGTTGGACTCCGCCAAGGTTGCCCTTTGTCACCGATTCTGTTCATAACTTTTATGGACTGAATTTCTAGGCGCAGCCAAGGTGTTGAGGGGATCCGTCTTGGTGGCTTTAGGATCGCATCTCTGTTATTTGCAGATGATGTGGTTCTGTTGGCTTCATCAGGGCGTGATCTACAGCTCTCACTGGAGTGGTTCACAGCCGAGTGTGAAGCAGCCGGGATGAGAATCAGTGCCTCCAAATCCGAGACCATGGTCTGGAGCCGGAAAAGGGTAGAGTGCCTTTTCGGGGTTTGGGAGGGTGTACTGCCCCTAGTGGAGGCGTATAAGTATCTTTGGGTCTTGTTCACGAATGAGGGGAAGGTGGAGCGGGAGATCGATAGGCCGAATGGTGCGGCGTCTGCTGTGAAGCGTGTCCTGTACCGGTCTGTTGTAGTGGAGAGAGAGCTGAGCAAGAAAGCAAAGCTCTCCATTTACCGGTCGATCTACTTTCCTACCCTCATCTATGGTCAGGAGCTTTGGGTCATGACTGAAAGAATGAGATCCTGGATACCAGCGGCTGAAATTAGTTTTCTGCATAATGTGTCTGGGCTCTCCCTTAGAGATAGGGTGAGGATCTCAGTCATAGCAGAGCTATGGTGCAAATCCAACAGACTCTAGCATCCTGGCCCGATAAGACATGAATGAAGCTGTCTGGGCATCAGGCTTAATCCTGAACCTTACGCCTCTCACACCATTGATCTTCTCTGTTCAATAATGAACATGTTTTCCCTCTAAAGGGCAATCCTTGTTCCTGTTGGGTCTTTTCCTGAGGAGCCGCTCTCCTGTGTTCATTCTTCTTTTTGTGGAGTTCCTCCAGTATAAAGGTTTGGATCATCTTTACCGCACCGATCTGGCCGCTCATTTTGAGAGCCTTTATGTTGTTCTTCTCTTGTTTTTTTTCTGTCTTTGTGAGAACTTGTTCAGTCCAATCAGATAAAGTTCTAAAGACAGATGGAACTGACCCATTTTCTTTCAAGTCCTTCTTTAGGCAAAGTCAGAAACCCTGTTGACTCTAGCATTTCTCTGTTGCAGCATCTCTTCATTTGCATGTTTTCTACAGTGTATTTATTATGCTTGCAGCACCTTTTCTACAGGCTGTGCTTTTACGTCTTCCCAGAGTGTTTGCAGCCTTCAGCCACCGAAGTGGCATCTAGTGGCTTCCGAATCTGTAAAGCAGAAGTTGAAGTGCACCAGCTCTAGTGCAGCGTGTCAGGGTTAGGAAGTGTGAAATAGGTTGACAACTCGATTAAAGTTCCTCAACAGCAGAGTTTTAACATGCCTTATTTGGGAAGGCTCTTGCATGTTATGAAAAAAAAAAAAACATTTCATTCTCTCTCAGCTGTGAAAGATGAAGAAATCCCTTCATACGACAAGTCTTTAAAAATGAAATCTGGGTATTTTGTTTTCAACCTCTGGTTAAGTAAACATGTCCTGTGTAGTTAGGAATCTAGTCCAGGATATAGAATTAATTGTTTCAAAAAAACAAAAGAAAAGCAGCTGTCAGCTACGGTGGTGGGGGACTAATGATGTGGGTTTGTTTTTCAGCTACAGGGTCTTCACGTTAACATCAGCTGAAGCTAAATCATCACAGTGCTTGCTCTGCTCTTCGACTTAGATGGATTTATAACAGCAGGAAATGGCTTCCATAAAGAGTGGCCTCCGTAAGTAACTGTATTTTTTTTAAAAGATGTTCTTAGATTCTGATAATAATTGTTGATTTTAATGACTTACTGTTGAAAATAAATAAATCAAGGGATTGTGGATATTTTGAACTTTTTTTGTTCCCTCTCAGGTATCCAGGGGGATGAAAACCTTCAGTCCATGCTGGTAGGGACAGTGATGAGGAAAATTAAGTCCCGTACTTGGAAAAAACAACGATACTTCAAACTCCAGGATGACTTCATGACCATCTGGTACAAGTCCAAGAAGGCTGGCAATGCCCACTCTACCTGTGAGCTCTGAGGGTTTGGATATACTTTTACAATCTGCATAGTAAAATGCATTGCCTTAGCTAGCACAAGCTGTGTCAATCCTTACCTTACCTCCTACCCTACCTTACCTTACCCTAACTTACCTCACCCTACCCAACCTTCCTTTGCCATAACATAACCTTATCTTACCTAACTGTACCTTACCACCATGAAATTACCTTACCCTATCCCACATTCTGCAGCATTACCCCTACCTTACCTTTCCTTACCCCACCTTGCTATTACCTTACCTTATCTGACCCTACCTTACGTTTCCCTACCTTACCTTACCTAACCTTAGCTTATCTTCCCTAACCATAACTTTACCCTACCTTACGTTACCCTACTCTCACTAATCTAAACCTGACTTACCTTCCCTTAATTTACCTTACCCTACCTTACCTAACCTTAGCTTATCTTCCCTAA